ATTTAATGCATATCATCTATAAAAAGGAAATTTATAAGAAGGAAATATTAAAAAACACCTGCCAGAACAATAGGATTCTGAATGATTCTGTTTGGAGAAAAACAAACAACAAACAAACAAACAAACAAACAAAAAAACAGTTTTATGGGGCCAGGTTTTATACCTGTTTTCCAGTTATTTTCTTTTGCTTTCTTCACCACATTGTGGCAGGCCAGGTCTTACTAACGCAGGCCTCCATAACAATGGTTTCAGCACTGACCGAGTGGTTCCATTAAATATTAAAACCTGAGAGAGCCCGTGCCCTTCTGCAAAGGCTAGACTGTCACAAAAGCCCATCAAGAGGTTTGCCTGGGCCTTTCCTGGGCCTGGAAGCATGACAGGATAATGAAGGAATTCTTAATGGGACCTGTTTAGGTGTAAGTAAGTTTTATTGGGGGGTCCAAAGAAACTCTCCAGGCCTCCACAAACAAGCTTTATTGGGGACTAAAGAAACTCCCCAAACCTCCATGATTTAGCAGGAGACAAGACAAGGGTATTCACCCCAGCACCTGGACCCATGTGGATTAAGTAAATTTACTGAGGTTCCAGAGGAAAAGCTTTAGGACTCAGATCTTTGTTATAGATTAAAAGAAGTTACTTACATCTTCAGATGAATGAACACTTACATGTAGACATATAGCTTAGAAGGTATATAAGCTCTGGAAAACTTTGTAGTTTTGAGTTGGTCTGGGGATAATTTCCAGGCCTTCTCCCTGTAACTGGTTACAGAAATAAAAACTCGATTCTCTCCCAGTTCATCTGCATGTCGTTACAGGGCTGCGAGAATAAGTAGCCCGACCCTTGGTTTGGTCCGGGAACAGCATGACAGAGAGAGCACAAGCTTTGTAGTCAGCCGATCTGGGTTCAAATCCTGATTCTATCACTTAAAAGCTGTGTGACATTGGATGTACCAAATGTCTCTGTGCCTCTGTTTCTTCACGGGTAAAATGAAGGTAATATTTTACATCCCTCACCCATAATTCAGTGCCTGGCCCGGTGTCAAAACTCAATATGTATTACTGAGTTGTTATTATTATCATCATTACAGTGAATGATGTCCCAAATGTTCTTGGCATTTAAAGACAGGTCTCTACCGCATGGCCGTCACAATGGTTACTCTTTTGGGGAGCATCCATCGGAGCAGCTGCTTCCACCTTGCTTTATTTTCCTGCAGGTAATGTCCTGTTCCCGTCATTATCTGCTAACTTGTTGACTGAATGCCTGATAGGAGCTCAGATAGTCAAGTGTGGCTTTGTGCCTCACCCTCCTGACATAACTCGTTTTCTGTTCTCATGGACTCTACAAACTGCTCTAGGGTTTGAACTGCAGACCTGTTCCTGCGTCATTCTCTATGTTTGACTTGTGGCCATCCCCGTGAGGTTAAATGAGACTCTGAGGTGAAAGCAGGAAGGATTCGGTTCAGGGAGAGTGTTTGTTTGACACAGGTGTTATACATGATGAACTATCCATCAGGTACAGGGATCAGAGCAGCGGTCACAGAAGAGTGGTGGAGGTGAGAACCTGCCATGATCAGGAGAGGAGGGAGGGATATCACAATAACATGCAGTCTGCTAATATTTGGCAGATTGTCATCTCCATGACCTCAATGGTCCTGTTAGATCCTGCCACAATTTTGCAATTATGTAGGGTCACCCCTGCTCTCATGTGCAGGCAGTTTTCTTCCATCCAGACAATGCTGATGAAAGAGATATTAGCAAGAGATACCATCCAGATCAAACATATCTTAGAGAGATCAGTGCAACTTTCATGAATGAGTCCAGGAACTCTTACATCATGAGTATCCTGAAACCCAGCGCATCTTTTCCCTGGGGAAAATGAAAACACACAGCCACCCCAAAAAACAAGCAAAATATATTGGAAGGAAACTCTGGTATATAATATTGAGCTGTTGGTTTGAAAAGTAGTGACCTCTCTGTGCAAATGATTTTTTTTTTCCAAACAGAACTGAACAAGGTAAGATTCTGGCTTTCATAACGATTAAAATTAAAATGTAAACCTGGTGTAGTAGAGCTTATAGCTCTACAGGAACTTACAGAATCATCAAATAATTTTAATAAACTGCTTATGCAAGGATATTTCTATAGGGAGGTCAGACTCCCGTCTCTCTTTAAGAGGCTGCCAAGACACCCTGGACTCAGATGATAAGGCATCTGTGTATTTTCTGAGGCCAAGACCGGGAAAATGTGTCTCAGCAGGCAAGGGGAGGAAACTGATACCTTTATAAAAGACATATTAAAAAGCGAGAGTTCTCTAGGGATTTTCTTGAAACTACCATTATAGCTACATCATCTCTCTTTCCCCCAAAAGCCCACTTAGATTAAGTTCATCAACCAATGGGAATGTCAGTGACTGCATAAGTATATCGGCGTGAAACAATGGTTATCTGTTAAACTGGATTTTATATCCATGTGGTATTCAGTTTTTTCCCCCAAGATCTGGGATAGTGAAAGTTCCCTTGATTTGTGGGCTTTGTCTCTGTGGTGCTAACTGCTGCAGTGCTTGCCTCCAGAATAGGCACTTCTGCTCATGGCTAGAGCCACAAACATTCCTGATCCCATTGGTGGCGTTTTCCTATTAAGTTGGGTGCATATTTTCATAGACACGATCAAACATTGCATATTATGATTAGAAATAAACCTGAGGACTGAGAAACTGAATATACAATGACCGGACCATATATAAAAATAGAATGTTGACCCATAACCTGTAGCAACCTACCCAAGAAACCAACTCCTATTTACAGTAAGCAACCCAGGAATCCAGCCTGCTACATAAACCACACTTGCAGGAAGCCAGATTGCTATACAAACCACACTTGCGGGAAGTCGGATTGCTACCCTGGAAGGTAAATAATTTCTGTAACAATTGGCCCCACATGGCCAGGACTTAATTAACTGACAGCTTCCCTAATTTTGCCCTTGCTTTCAACTTAGGACTAACTAGAGAAAGTCAAACATGTACCTCTTACCTATCACACAGGGTGCCCTGCACGTAGATACCTTATCTCTAGCGTCTTCATGCCAACCGTGCAATCAGAGCACACCTGAGCCTTCTCTTCCGCGGCTCTTAAATCTTTTGCATTCCTCTGCCTGCCTTTGAGTCTGCGCAAATGCTAGTGATGGTGGCTGACTCCTTTGCTATAGCAAGCTTAGAATCGATAGCCTTTGCTTTTCTCCTTTGGTCTTTGTTCAGTACTATGGTTTAAATAGTCTTTGTGAGCCAGTTGGTTTCTAAATCATTCTGCCATTCATTCACTTACAGGAGAAATGTTTACTGAAAGCTTCAATATAGGCCATATTCCTTGCTAGGCACAGGACAAATGAAATAAGATATGGGCCCTACCCTAGAGGACAGTAACTTGGCAACTAAGGGGATGAACGGGATGACTTGCCAACCGAGTCAAAGGGCATTAAAATATCGAGGCAATGTTTTTTAAAAAGTGCATACTAATTCCTGGATTCATGAGATAACTTCCAGGAAGTTGTAGACAGATAAACATTTCAACTTTAATCATTATATACTTGAATGCAGATTAGAAAAATAAGCATTTTAAGCTTAGCAAACCCATGATTTCAGATATTATTGCTTTAGGATGTCGGTAACAGTTAAAATCTAGTCAGGAGATTAAAAGTCACCCTTATTTTAACAAAGAAAATTGAATATTATGAATTGTTAAGTGGGTATGGAAGAACTAAATGAGGCAAAAGGAAAACACTGTGATATCATGCAGGAAGCTGCCACTCCTAGAGAAGAGAGGGAAACTGTTCAATTTTTGAAACTTTGGAGGGGCCCCAAAGAGCCAAAACTCGGGCCTCTGACAGTAAGTTGTTATCCTGTTAATATCAGTGTCTCTGGGTTGGGTGGGGGAGCCCTGTGGCCAAGGTGCTGGACAGATGTCTGAATGAGTACAGGGTGGTTGGTGCTGGTGATGTCTCCGAGGAGTTGCTAGAAGCAGGAAACAAATCACCCATGAGTGGGACCACTCCATCTACCTCTGCTTGATTCCAGACTGTGCAATCTGACCAAGAACAGTCCATGGAGTGGTCACTCAAAGCATATGTTACATTTGTCAGATGGGGTTGTATTCTACCCAGTGCCATAACTGAGTCTTCAGCAGCCCATTCCATCGTCCTATTATGCCCCCTGTTCCTGGGTGATGGGGGATATGCTAAGACCAGTGCATTCGAGGCATAAGCCCCCATTACCCGACTTCTTTTATGGTGAAATGAGTTTGTCAGTTAGAAGTTGTACTGTGCAGACAGGTACATAAGACATGTAGTAAGTCCATGGATTGTGGTGGTAGTAAGGCACGGAGAAGAACTTCTTGTTACCTCCCAGAGTTGGGAGGTGCATCATTCTCATATTCACAATGAAAAAAAAAATAACTTCAAATTCCTATCTTTTCTCGTAACTCACCAGAGAACCGAGGTCACAGAGCAATAAAACCTTACAGAGATTTGAGGAGAGAGGAGACATGTACCTCATTCACTTCCTGGGAGCAAAATTAAACCAGTAGTTCTCAGAAGTCCTAGGTACTTATCTCCAGACAGACAGACACACATACACACACTTAATTCTATGTGCTTCTTTCTATACTTAGCATTTAGAATAGAGTTCAGACTAGGAGATGGTGCCATTGGTCAGTGGTAAATTCTATTGGGCTTTACCGTAAGAAACTAATGGTTGTTTTTGACCTGTAAAAGGCAATTTCTTATGGTTCAACTGCATACATCACTATATTCTGACCAATGGCTGTTTTTTAAAGTTACTATTTGGAAAACAGTTATATTACTGAATTAGACTAAAATTGTTATTTGAAAGTACAAGAAAATATAAAAAGTATGTGAAAGCAGGTTTTTATTACAGAGCAATTTTTTTCTATTAATTCAATGCTTTAAATAACATAATACCATAAACTGACAATGACCTGGGAGCACGTAAACACTTAAGCCTGGAGAGGCATATTTATTCTTGATAAATTTATTTAATAAATTCTTAGAATATTTGATTCCAAACTGTATGTATGAATTGGCTTGACATAATAATTTAAATATAAACATAAGGGCAATTTAAACATTGGCAGTAATTTATATGAGTCAATTCAAGGTCAGTGACTGGAGAACTATATTACGATAAACCTGAGGTCAAAAAAACTTTAGGAAGCAGCCCTGTAAAAACATATACATTTGTAGATCAGGGGCTAAAAATTTATGAATGAATACCATGAAGCAAAGGATGTACAACATCCATCACACATCTGTTTTTTTAAACAGCATGGTTCCAAAATGATACATCTCTTTACAAAGTAAAAGTTACAGTATTAATAACTATAGAGACGCTATCGGGATGAGCTACAGATGCGCTGCTGACTTCCATCAAGCACCCATGGTCCATTGCTTAAGGCATCCATCTTAATCCTGGGGCTTTAAGAACATCTTCTTTGCTTTAATCGGTTTTATGTCTCCATTTTCATCTTCTTCGTAATTGGCATGGTCTCTCTTTCTGGCAAACTTTTTCCCAATTGTCCCCACCAAGGTCTCATATCTGTCAAGAGGATAGAGAGCACGTTTAATTTCAAATAAAAAGGTAGGAATCAAACCTTGTCAAGAATATCAGACCAAATATGCAATAAAAAAGATTAAGAAAAAGAAAACTATGATTAAAAGAAACCATCTGATTTAACAATTTATGAACTTCTCCAAGAGTGATTAAATTCCTTGCCATTTTGGTGTTTGCATTACCCTAAATAAATTGAGATGTACATTTAAAAATACACATTTCCAGCAGCTCTGGAAATGGGCTCTCAACTGGCAGCCTGAGACAGGTCTGCGGCCCCTGCAGGCCATTAAGAGAAGGCTGATCACAGTCATCTTCCTACTAGGGGGACTCCCTTGAAAGCTGCCGTGGACTGTGGGGTAAGAGAAGCATTCCTGGGAGAGCCAATGAATGCTTGGTCCAGATTAGAAAGCTGCTGCGCAGGACGGTTACCTTCTAGCCATCTCTTCATCTGACACATCAAGCTCCACTGTTTCATCTTCGACTTCTTCTGCTTTGTGCTTAGCATTCATCTGAAGCATCAATTTCTGAAAAATACACCAGTGCTGACCTTCAGGCTAGAAAACGCTTGTGAAAGGAACTGATGTCAAACTTCTTTGAAGGCAGAGAAACTGAAGTCAAATAATCTAGAGAACTAGTTAAAATTGATAAGGGACTCTCTGTAATACTTGATATCACAATGGTCTAACAGAAGTCAGCTCTGAGTCAAAAAAATAGGCAAAGCCCCACTGGATTATATTTAGTGTGAATTAAAAGTGTATTTAAGATCATAAATCTTAGTACTAGTTACTGATATTTAAAGCAGGCATACTGCTGACACATTCCAGTGAGTGGGGGAAGAAATAATAAACTTTCAGATTTTCTCTGAACTTCCCCCACTCCATCTTTAAGCCAAATGGAAGAAGCACTAGTAGTCAATAATTTTAAATGCATCTCTTGGTGGTGGTGGTGGTGGTGCGTGGAGGCGGCAGCAGAAGTGGAAGGCTGGCCCTGTATGATGGAGGGAATCTGCACCTCAGCCCCACCCTCCTAAACTTTAGGGTGGATAATGCATCCCATGTAATATCCATGCACCACAGGTCTCTCCTTCAACTCTTTCACATAAACCTTTGTGATAATTATCCTCTGACCTTTCCTTTTTTTTTTTTTTTTAAATGTGTAATCTCTTCTTTATAGCAAGAGGAGAAGGAATACAAGATGAGAAATCAGTCTCAACTAGTTTTTCTAAGGCTTAAAAGAGTGACAATAGTTCAAAACCTTTTCCTAGGGGGAGTGTATTCGGTGTTACAGAATCCAGTAATTACGGCCATTTGCTAACACCCATCCCTGCCCCCCATCAATTTCTGCGGGCAGTGGCACCTCTCCTGTCCCAGCGCAGCAGACGTACTGTGGAATGCTCGCCTATCCAAACCGTGCTCTTTGAACACCACATCTTCATAATCCCTGCCTTTTTCTTCCCTTTTTACCCCACTCTGCAGCCCCTCTCCTTCTCAATCTGAAGCTTAATTAAAGCAGGTCAAAGTGAGACCAGTAGATATGAAAAACAAACACTTCTAATATAACACCTTAATTATCACACATGCCTCCTTCCACTCTGCCAAAAAAGCAGAAAAGGAAAACTAATCTAGAGTCTTTCAATAAACTGTGGCAACTGGCTTAGTTAACTGGGGCTCCTGCAGAAGTGGTTCTTAACTGGGGACGATTCTTCCCACCAGGGAACCTGTGGCAATGCCTGGAAACATTTTTGGTTGTCACAACTGGGTTGGAGGGTGGGGTGTGTGTGTGCTGATATTTAGTTGGTAGAGAACAGAGGACAGGGATGTGGTTCATCATCCTCTTAAGAAAGCCACCACCACAAAGAATTATCTGGCCCCAAATGTCAACACTGCCAAGGGCGAGAAACCCTGACTTCGTGTAATATTTACAAAACTAAAGATTTATATCTCAAGTGTCCATTTGGTTCATCAAGTACCTGACAGGATGGCTTTTAACATATGAGCCAGAGTTCTAATGAATATTTGTTAAATAAAGGTCTGCTTCTCTATCCTGGAGCAGAAATTCAAATGAATAGCTCAGTTATAAGGCAAATATTCGTTTTTCAAACAAACTGTCCAAAGGATTCATTTAAAAATCTACTTACAAGCTTGGATTAAAACTGTCCATTAAAAAGTCAAATTATACAATTCTAAAGTAACATTTTTCCATTAGAAAAAATACATTTATAGGTGCCAGAAAATAACTTTTCATAATAGCATCATATGAATAAAATCTTGACGTTCCTGTAAACGACTCAACTTGAAATTCTAATATTTACAGTGGCACTGTCAAGGGCTGTATACCCCTATATGAAATTATCTACTCACCTCTACCACAAAACTAGACTACAATGCCTGCAATTCTTTAAATAGCTATGGTGATATTTCAAGACTTGTTATTTTCTATATAATGAGTAGAAATGGTACTTGGTAGAGAAATATCTAAGCCCAATTATTAGCAGAAAAAAATTCAATTGGAAAAATTTTAAATTTGAAGCAATTATATTTAATACCTCAACCTCAGGATTAAATCCTCTGAATGACATTCTTCCATAGAGAAGATCTTCACATAGTAAGAAACTCTGCTCTTCTATTATGAAACTCCTAAATGGGAACATAGAAATAGCATTTCTCCGTATATAAAGCACAACAAACAAAAGCCAAAACTGTGAATGAAAAAAATCAACCTATGGTTCTCAGTAGAATGAAGTAAAAATACAGTAAGATTTCTAACTTAGGGTTAAAAATAAAATCTGATTAATTTGGTCAGCAAAGGCATTAGGAGACAAGGGCAGCAGGCTGGAGGCACAACCTCTCTTAAATACCACATTTAATTTGCATAAATACCTACATAATATAAAGATCTAAAGTATCTACAATAAACTTGAATTTGCCAAAGTTGAAGCAAAGTTTCTTTTGTGTTTACATCCCCTCACCAAAAATTTTTTTCAATTCTTTTTCAGAAAGGAAATAATATGTATGTAAAAATACACATACAGTATACAGTGACACACTACTCCAAATCATTTTACTAAAGTTTCTGGCATACTTTGTATTTTTTTCTCAGGGATTTCAAAAATTCCATTTTCTAATTATCAAAGCAGCACATTTTAAGGAACATAATTTGGAAAGCAGAATAAAGTATGAGTTTATAAACTGCCTGGAAATTCCTTACCAAGAGGTTAAAAAGGACTGTTAGTATATTTGAGTATTTCCTTCCAGTCTTTTTTATACTTGCATTTACGTTGATTCTTGAACACAGGTCTGAGCTGTGTGGTACACTTATACACAGATTTTTTTCAAAAAATTTCAATAGTTTTTGGGGAACAGGTGGTTTTTTGATTACACGGGTAAGTTCTTTAGTGGTGACTTCTGAGATTTTGGCCCCCACCAAATTCTTATTACAAATCCAGGATAAGTAGTGGGAAATCAGAGGCTTGGGCAGCTTTAACAGTGTTATCAGTCAGAGCTCTTAGCTATAAACACCAAAGGCTGACCCTGGATGACTTCAGCAGAGGAGGAATTTACTGTAAGAACACACACTGTAGGCTCTTCGTTTCCAAGGGGGACTGGTTCCAGTCCCCCTTGTGGATACCAAAATCTGCGATACAAAGGGCCAGCTGTACTGGGCATCTCAGAATCACCGGGAAGGCTGGAGGGGCAGAACTGGAAGATGGGCAGAAATAATGGTCGCTAGGTGGTTGCACCGAAACCAAAATCATGCTAGAGAATGACCCTAGGAAAACTGTTGCTGCTGCTGACAGGGCTGAGCACGACACCACTGACGGCATTGGGGCAGGCTGCGTTTCCCTGGACCAGGACATTACTGTCTCCTGCAGAATTTCTCTGCTGAGTCAGCACTTCATGACCCTAAATCCAAGGTGACATATCTATCTCTAGCCTGGCCATAAACCCTAAAGCGTGGCAGGAAAGCAAACATGCGGCTTTTAAGGCTTGTTTGCTGGAGTAGGCTCTGATTCTCATGAAGATTCCCTCATCCAACAAACACTTATTAAACCAAACTGTGTGTATTAAATCAAACTGCAGAAACAGCCACCAATAAAAGAGCCTCAGCTGCGCATAGTGGCGGATGGCTGGAGTCCCAGTTACTCAGGTGACTGAGGCAGGAGAACTGCTTGCATCCCGGAAGTGGAGGTTGCAGTGAGCCGAGACTGTGCCACTGCACCCCAGCCTGGGGGACAGTGTGAGACACATGTCTCCAAAAAAAAAAAAAAAAAAAGCCTCTGCTCTCATGGAGGTTACAGTCTATAGAAAGAGGGGCCAAATAATGAATGAAACATTTATATCACAAAATGGATGAAAATAAAGCAGGTTATTCCATCCCGAGCTGTAGGGGAGTAACTGGTATGGAACTACCTTTCCCGCATCATAACTATATAAAACAGGACAAAATATAAAATGACTATGTTTAGATAATCAACAAGTCCAAGCATACAACTGTGATGCCTGGGTGAAGAAAATCAAATGAAGTGAGCCCCATGAATGCGGAGCTTTCTGCCTGGAGGCAATTTCCAGATTGTGGAGCAGGGAGTGGGAACTCACACAAAGCCCTGTCTTGCTGAGCTTAAGAGACAAACTGTTTCACTGGGGCTTTAGTTGAAAAAAATAAAGACACAAACTGAAGTTTGGGGTTATGGCGGTTGCTGGAATATGTGGGTGAGGATACCACAGAAAGGGAGCTACAGCATGGAATTCAGGACCTGCATATTGGGTTCCCTTGAATCTCTGGCTGACCATTAAGCTGCACATGTGCAGGATGAGTCTTCAGACTTGGGGGAAAAATAACTGCTGGAGAGATGATTTCTGGGAGAATACCTGCTGCATTAGCTTCCTGTGGCTGCTGTAACAAACTTAAGCTAACAAAATTGGTGGCTTACAGCAACAGAAATTTATGCTCCTACAGTTCTATACAAAATTCAGGTGTTGGTAGGCCTGGGATCCCTCCAGAAGCTTCCACGGTTACAAGGCCTTTCTGTGTGTCAAATCTCCCTCACCTCCTCCTTATAAGGAAAGGTGATTATATTTATGGCCCACCCAGATAATCCAGGATAATCTCTCATCTAAAGATTCATAATTTACTCATATACCAGCAAGGTAAATTTTGCCATATAAGGTAACATTCACAGGTTCCAGAGATGAAAACCTAGATATTATTCGGGGGACCATTTTCCAGCCTACCATACCTGGGGCAAAAAAAGTTACCCTGCAATTGTATGTTGAAGAAATAACAGAGCTTGCACACAGCAAGGAAATGTCTGAGTTCTGCCTGGCCAGAGAGGAGAGAACAAGCTAAACACTCTGTGATATTTAGTAGAAAGGCCACAGCTTAGGAGTAGAGACAATTTAGCTCTAGGGTAAAAGCTACAAAACACATCCTAACAAAAACAAGCTGACTGGCATGTAAGTTAACTGCCTAATGAAACAAAATTCAACACTCTATTAAGAAAAATAACAGAATCCAGGTAGTCAGCAATGTAATGCATATAAATGTACAGCACACAATAAAAAATTCCTAGACATGCAAGGAAGCAAGAAAATGTAACCCTCTCATAGAAAGAAGAAAAACAATTGAAGAAATATGAAATCAGTAGAAACGGACTTTAAAATAGTTATTGTAAATTTATTCAAGGATTTAAATGAAAACATGAATGCAATGAAGAAACAAACAGAAAGCCTGAATTAAGAAATAGAGACTGCAAAAAAATCAGTTAGAATTTATGTAAATAAGGGAAAATTTTTTAAAAATATATTACTGAAAAAAAATCTGAAGTGAAAAATTGGATTAGTCCTGTATCTATTAAATAAATGGAATTCATTACTAAAAATCTTTTCATAGAGAAAGCTTCAGATCCGGATGGCTTCACTGGTGAATTTCACCAAGCATTTAAAGAAGAAATAATTTCAATTTTACACAAACCAAGAACTGAGAAGAGGAGGTAGGAACACTTTCCAACTCATTTTATGGCCAAAACCAAAGACATTACAAGAACTCTACAGTCTAATATCTTATATAAATATAGATGTGAAAATCATCAATAAAATGTCAGCAAATTGAATTTAAAAATTTTAAATGTTACATATGAAGACCAAGTAGACTGTATGTCAGAAATATAAGGCTGTTCTGATATTCAAAAGTTGATATAGTTTTCAACACATTAACAAAATAAAAATCATGATCCTCTCATAAAAAATTATTTGACAAAATTCAACATCATTTATGATGAAAACCCTCAGCAAACTAGGAAAATAAAGGAGTATCTCTGAGCACTGATAAGGGGCATTCACGAAAACAGCACTTCATGTGTAATAGAGAAAAAGTAAAGGCCTTCCCAACTACGATCAGAAACAATTCAAGGACTACTCTTGCCGTTTCTATTCAATACTGTACTGGGTCCTTAGCCATGAAATAAATCAACAAGAGGAGATAAAACGTATACTCTCTTTTTTTGCAGATGACATAATTATGCATGGGAATCCACAAAAAACTACTTGTCAATGAGTCAATTTAGCATTACAGAATACGTCAACGTACAAACTTCAATTTCTACACACCCCTCCACCCCATACATACACACAACAAAGTTTGAAAAACTCTATTTATGATAAATAAATATATGAAGTACTTAGAGATAAAAATGCAATAAGTAAAGAAAATTTTTTCAATAAATGTTAATAGGCACGGTGGCTCATGCCCGTAATCCCAGCACTTTGGGAGGCCAAGGCGGGCAGATCACTTGAGGTCAGGAGTTCAAGACCAGCCTGGCCAACGCAGAGAAACCCTGTCTTTAATAAAAATACAAAAATTAGCCAGGTGTGGTGGGAGGTGCCTGTAATCCCAGCTACTCAGGAGGCTGGGGCAGGAGAATCGCCTGAACCCAGGAGGCGGAGGTTGTGGTGAGCCAAGATTGCGCCACTGCACTCCAGCCTGGGTGACAGAGTGAGACTCTGTCTCAAAAAAAAAAAAAAAAAAAAAAAGACCACAGGTTATCTATGAAAAACATGTCCTTTGATTTCTACCTCATGCTGTACAAAAAAAGTTAGAGGCAAACCATGGATAAAAATGTCAGCACTAAAACTACAAAATTTCTAGAAGAAAACAGAAAATATCTTATCACCTTGGCATAGCCAAGGATTCATTAGACAAGACTCATAAGGAATAAACCATAAAAGAAAAACATTAATAAAACAAAATTAATAAAAACTCATCAAAAGACAACATTAACAGGCTAGAAGAAAATATTCACTATATATATATAGGTGGCAAAGAACTTGTATTCAGAACATAAATAACTCCTACATGCACAGATGTATGTACGTTTTGTCTCAAAAAAAACCCTAGAAACACTGAGCTTGAGTTAATGATGTGCATGCTGTAATATTTCGGAAACAAATGTACTGATGTCTGCAACTTACTCTTACTGCATCAAAAATACAATAAACTGATGGATGGATAGTGGGATGAACAAATATGTGATATAAAATATTTTAAAAACCAAAACAACAACAAAACTTTCTCAATTTTTAAAATGGCCAAAATATTTGAAAAGGCACTTCACATGTGGAAATGGCCCAAAAAGAAGTTC